ATAAATATCTCCTATTGAGATAAAAGGCAGAACAATATGGAGTTTACTGGATGAGAAATATTTAACTTTATTTATGTGGGAAGCTGTGACCATCAACGGAAGTGTTCTCAGACATTCCTCAACCGAGAAATTTCTCTTGTTTAGGATTGGCTCGTTTTACAAAATATGAAATTTTGCTACAGGTGTCAAATAAGCTATGTGTGGCTAATAGTTCGTTTGGTCATCTTTGAGCAGAAATTAAAAATTAAAAAAATTACAACAAATTTCATTCTTTCTTTCATTGTTCGGTTTTGTCGTTGTTTTGAATTTTTAGGAGTTTTCCTTCATTACATTATAAAACAGCTATTAGAAAGTATAGCCAATTGAGTTGATTATTCAGTTAATAAGAATGAATATTGTATGGAAATTATTTATTTGAAATTTGAAGAGAGATACTTCATTATGTCGAATACTGATTTTCAGCCTATCACATGGAGCGAACTGATGTTCATTCATTGTCAGTGAAGTATCATACGCAATTAGAATGCTAGCATAACTGTTTACAGCTCATCTAAATCACGCTGGTTGGATGAGTTTTGCCAGCTTTATCGAATTTACTGTTGACTGTTTAAAAATTCTTTATTTAAAGAAAATTTGCTTCAACTAAAAATTATAAGGTTGCTTTATTTCACTAATAAAGTAATATTTCACAGATAACAACTGGAAGTAATCTATTATATTTCTAACATTTACATACTTTTCTTTTATCCTGCAATTTTTCAAAATCCTTCAAAATGATTTCATGAATTTTGTTTTACATCGCTTAATTCTGATACAGAACTTACACGATTTGGTCATAAAATTCGCCAAACAAAACTTCCTAAATGCCCGATCATCAGCTGTCAGTGAACTATCTTCTTGCGGTATTTTTCGGCACTTTGGAATTTTTAAAGCAGTGAGCGTAATATCGAATTCAAATTACAATTTATGTTCAACTCGTTCAAGACATATTCATTGAGTCATTCTGGAAAAGGCGTAGCCTCTCAATTTCGGTTAATTAAATATAATTGGTATGCATAAGTTTAAAACATTTTCAATTTCAATTTCAATAGATTTCACTAAAATTCCGAAATATATCAACAGCTAGCATATTCTTTCTTTTATCATTGAAGATTTATCACTTTTGCGGTTTCAGTAATATTATTAATAGGTTTACACATGGGAAGGAATCGCAGAACATTAATCTGATATCGCAAAAAAACACAAAAGATTTCCGAAAAGCAAGTAAATCAGATTTTTAATCCGCTTGAATTTTCAACAACGATTTTCATTAGATGTTCCTTGCCATGTCATCCTTGCAGATTTCAAAAGCTTTGTAATTACATTTTTTTATTTTTGTGGTGACATTTGATGACGGGAAATGATGTTATCCACAATTTTTACGCCACATTTCACAATTCATTATGGTTTTTACACATTTCCTATTAGTAATTTGCAGATTGGAAATTCAACGCCTGTAAAAGCGTAACATAATTTGAGGATATATATAAAGTGCTCACGGGAGAAACAAGCAGAAATGTATTCGAAAAGATGAAAATAAAATTAGGAAATTGTATTTATAAATTGTGTTTTGTTTTCAAGTTTTCAAGGATTGTTTAAGTCTCAAATTTTTTTTTACTATTGCATAGAACCATTGCAAAGATATTGTAAATATTATGTTATATTTTTGGCTCTGTATAATTGCTACAATTTAATTTCATTAACATTCGTTTTATTATTGATAAATATATCCTTGATAAAAGTCATTATTGTTTTCCTTTGTTAGCTCACATCAACCATTTCATTACACCAAATGAATATGATATTGAACTAATGTACTGCAAGATGGGTTGTCAGAATTTTTAGGCAAGTATGGCACAGCTATTCCAACCGAACAAAAAGAGGATTTCATTCAGTAAATATACTTAATAAAGAAAATCCTAATAAATTATTTTCAGGAAAGTCAATAAGATTCACTGCTTTCTATCCTTTCTACTCCATCCAACTCCTTTACATTTGAATACGATCCATAAATAATAGTTTCTATTTGATTGATTCTATGAGTTAGATAATATGGATTCTATATCAAAGTCAAATTTCCTTGCTATTATTTTTGATATTGTTTAGATACGGTAATAGCAGCGAATATTATTATTCTTCTCTTAATATATTTACAGTCCCTTGTTTGTTTATTTCTAAATTATTTAGCATTCATTTTTGAAATACTTTATAATTAGTTTATTATTATGTGAATTTTCGAAAGAAAGAAAAGCATAGAAAGCTAAATTAGTTGTTCATATTTTATTATTAATTTTGGAATATTTTGCTTCCAACAATTCAATTTACAAATTATAGCTAACAATCGAAAAGTAAAATATTTAATAATTTGCATGCGAAAGTATTGATTCTTTTCTCATTGTGTTTTTCATAAAATTTATAAAATATGAAAAATCATTAAAAGAATTTTCAACTTTGAAAAAATTTTTTACAATTTTGATTCGCTATTTTCTTCACGTTTAAAATGGATTCTTTCATTTGACAATTAGTAATACTGAATAAACAATGATATAAAAAAAAATAAACAAATAAATAAATAAAAGAATTCAAAATAAATTATCGATTAGCTTTTCAATTTCAAATATCATAAGCAAACTTTTTCTAGCAGCTTACCGATCGATTTTTAAAGAAAAAAAAATTGTATATTTTGTTGTCAAATGATGATGACACGTTTGAAGCAATAACTTAAGTGATGTAACATTTCATTTCAGTAAATGACGAATTGAATAAATGTCATAGCATGAAGGTATATAATTTAATAAAATTTATACATAGCATTTCATGATCGATTCCATCCTAAATTTTTCATGAAATCATCGAATCCGTGAAATTCTTCTTTTCGTTTCCTTTTTTTAAAGTTATTTAACTAACTGAAACATTTCACACAATTTATTTTGCATTATGATAGAGAAAAAGGCTAATTTTTCTTTTTTAATCCATTTATATATTATACAATTGATTCATTTACATATTCTAATTATTTCGTTTCGGTTCGATAAACACAAATTTCCATTGTGAGTTAGCATGAATGCACAAATAATCATTTTCGGAATTCTGAAATGATTTTCCCACAGGTTAATTAATTAATTCCTTTCAACAAAAAGACACCTAATAAAGTAATTCGCAGATACTAAGAATCAGTATCATTGCTTTAAAATACTTACCAAGCTGTTCTTAGAATTTTCTTTTCTTTCAAGAGAAAAAGTTTTTTTAGTCATTGATAATTCATTTAAGTCTAGTTTTAATTCCAACGTTAATTCTAATTACAATTCAATCATCTAATTTTAAATATGTCATTGTTTCCCATGTTTATATCATAAGTAGGATAACGTTTTTTCTTATAAGAATTTTTTATCCTCGTTTCTTAAAGTTTTGAATTTGAATTTGTTCAAAAATAATATCACGAAAATTTTTAAATTTTGCAATTTATAAGCATTTTAGTAGTGAAGCAAAATAATGCAACCACATTTCCTACTGATATTAATAGCAGCAGTTCTGATCACCAACTTATTTGCCTTCACAGGTAAAGAGCCTTTTGTTTTAATCCCATAATATGCGATCAAAAATAATTTAAATATTGCGCTTACTAAGAATGCATTATATTTAAACAAATGAAATTGATAGAATCGCAAATTTTTGAACAAAAATTTCAAAGTTATTTTATTTTTTTATTTTTTTGAGAAGTATATATATATAAATAGGTGCAGTAAAATTAATAGCACAAATTAAGCGCAATAGTGTCACATTAATTAGTCACACTTAATTTTTAAATTAATTTTAATTTTAAAACTAATTTAAAATAGGTTAAATTTTTAGAATTAGGATTCGATGCAACAACAAGCGGTTGTTCTGTAGAACAGAATGGGAAAACTGTTTGTCAATGTTGCAAAATAGCATGTTGGTATGATGTTGCAAATGTTAGTTTTATCATTTATAAAATATTACAAATGATTAATTTTAGTATAAATTAAAAAAATAATTGATAGTAATGATATGATATCTAAATCTTTTCATATATTTTGATAAAGCGAAGTGTTATCATAGTGTTAGAAGGAAAGATAAATTATTAAATTTACAAATATGAAAAAAAAAATTTTTTCAAAAACAAAAACGAAATTTTATCGAAATTATTTAGGCAGCAACAAACAATCTCGGGCATAAACCCGGTGAAAATGGTGAACAAGAAGCATTGGATACGCTACATGTGATTCGTTTATGCATCTTTTTGAAATGTCACAATGTATGTCCAAAAACTCCTCGAGGTTTATTCAAATTAATGAACTAACATTCTTATCAATGCTTTATCATTTTATTTCTCATTTGAAAATAACAATAATTTACATATTATATTTCTTTGAATTAATTCATCGTTCATGAAATAAGTCATTCAATTTTTAACGAGTAAATTGTGCAATTTGATACAACAACTTCCTTTTCATTTACCTGTTTTTCATGCAAAGGTAAGCATAAATTTTCTCAATTAGACATATAAAGTTGGCTTAAACAATAAGCATAGCGAAAATATTTCCATTTAATGACGAAAGTTTTTTTTGATGCATTTTAAACGGAATGTTGAATTTATCCATTCCTTGTCGATATTATTAGCACTTCGTAATTTATTCTAAAAAAAAAGGACTGTGATAGAAGAGAGAGAGAGAGACAACGATCAAACATATCCGTCGAAGCGGAAGATCGAAACTAACGCCACTACTACTCTTTTCTCCTTATGATAATTACTTAGCAGTATTTCATTTTTGATGATTTTACAAAAGTTTAACATCACTATTTAATCTTTTCAATATATAACATACATTCACGCTGTTTTTTAATTTATGAATTTCATTCATCGCCGTTGTTTATGTTGTTTTTACAAAATTTTAATCCTTAGCCAATACCAATATCCGGAATGCATTGAGGAGTATAAGTGAAACTGTAAATTGAAATGATTGGTGAATAAAGCATTTTCGTCACTTATATTTGTCCCTCTTAATGTCATATCTGTATAGGTCATCCTTAATATAACAATATATGAGGTCAATTGAATCTGACCTTAGTGTCAATTCTTGCAACATAATATGCTCACATTTCAGCATTATTTACTTCAGATATGCTCATTTCTGTAAGGATGTATTAGCATTTAAGAATATTTTGAAATTGTACGGTAACTTTTATTGACGAAAAAGAGCTTTTTGTTATGTTAAGACATTTGTGATGCAAGTGAATTTGAGTTTGAATAGTTCTTTGCAGAAGTTTATTCATCGTGGAAAAAGAATTTTAAGAATACGTAATAGCAATGATACTACCTACTGCTTTTTAATGTAGCAATTTCATTCGACTTTTGCATTAAAGCATGATGTCATCTTATGCTGACCGCTATATCTCTATTCGTTTATTTGTCGCTACCTAAGACAGGAATCGAACCCGAGTCCATGGACACTACGTAGAGTACTGAGCACTATACTACGAAGGCTATATGATATCATTCAACCATTCACTGATACCGGAAGATTGAGGTGAAATATTGAAAATTTTACGGAAAATGGAAAAATAACAGTATTGTAACAAAATGTATTGCTTAATGTTGTCAGGAAACCGGAACAAGAGGATCAGTTAATGACGGACGAATTGCAAGCAATGTTTCTAATCCCATGGAACGCTTTTCAGTATTGCTTAATAACTGTCAAATCAAGTGATCAAGGAATCACCGCTATTCTACCATAAATAAACTTCTGAAAAAAACTTTTTAAACTCAAATTTACTTACATCATAAATGTCTTACCATAACAAAAACTCTTTTCCATCAATAAAAGTTACCGTACAATTTAAATCGTTTTTTTTTGCATTTGTTTTTCCCTGAATATCAAATCGATAAGAAAATTATCAGTATCACATCATAATTCTGAATGCTATCAATTGCTGCTATTTATCTTCAAGTATATTTTTCTTAATGATTAAGCAAAAATAATGAAATTATGAATTAGTTTTTAAAAAGTAATGGTGGAGTCAAATGTGATTAATTTTAATGACAACAAGTTTTGAAACTTCATTCTTTTCAATCTATTATCTTTTCTGTATTATCTTACTTATTGTTTCTATTCCAGATGAACAACTTTAAGCCTATTTATTTATATTTAATTTTTAGGCCTACAATTCAAATCTTTTTCGTTTATTACCGATTTTAGTTATTTGCAAAATCATCTTAAATTTTCGCTGATCAAGTTTTTGCAGCTTCAAAAGATCAGTAACATATCAAATTATAATGTATATAAGAATTTATAACAGTATTAATTAATTTTCAGTTATATTATATATAATGTTTTTTTTCCATAGAAATGAATGATTAAATTCAGATCAAATTTAAAACAAGAAAATATGATGATTATCAATTTCACGTACGTAAACTTTATTATATGCAAAAAATTGAAATAAATATTTCGAAAACAAATTTAATGTGAAAAGTGCTGGAAATGGTGACAGTAACGGATGGCAACAACAATTAATTCTCTTTCTCTTTCTCCGTTTTTTAAGATTTCTAATTTTGAAATTTCATTGACATTTTCCAAAAATGTCAATGAAATGACTAATTTGAAATTTGATTAATACAGCCTTCTTTTTTTACTTAACTTATAATTTTCGTGTCTTAATTTTAAATATGCAATTCCAGTTTAAAGAAAAACAAATCATAATGATGAAAGATAATTCTTATCGATTATTCTGATACTACGATCAACGCATAAATTCACTAATTTCTAATAATAAGACATTTCGACTTCAACTTTTAATAGATTGTTGGAACGGAATATATTCCATAAATTTGGATCCGATCAAATAATTAATAAATTGTATTGCATTATACCCACTCAGATCTTAATTTCGTCTAAGTATTAATTGTTTATATTTTGTGTGTGACCAGACGAATATGCTATCCACAAGCTGTGCATTCCAAAACCGGTGATCTCCTGAGACTTCGTGATTCGGTACTTGTAAATGAAACATTATTGAAAAAAAAAAAATATTGAAACAGGATTAGATATCATCATGTAACTGATTGCTAAAAAAGAAGAAAACATAACATCAAAAATTGTGATAGCTTATGAATTTCCGATAATTACAATTGTCGGTCAAATGTTATGAAATTCGAAATTTCATTCTTTCATTTTAAACAATATTATCATGCTCAATTAAGGAAAATTAGATTATTGTTTAGTGAATAATGAAACTACTAGTGCCACTAAACAAACTTTCTACCATCGTAATTGTTCGATAATAAGTGAATTGCCAATATTGGCAAATTTATCACTTATCCTAATTACTTAATGATAAGTAAAATTGATAATATCATTAAATTTATATTATTTTCCTTCATTTAGCATGATGATATGTTTAGGAAATGATAATTAACATTCCTTCTTTCTTCATTTCTTATTTTTAAAATAATATTTAGTAAAATAATTTTGTAAGTTGAACTGCCTAAACCGTTTTGTCCTTTCCATTTATTCGTTATGAACCTATAGAATAGGACAGAATGTTAAATGGGTTTAATAGAAACATAAATATTTAAGAAATTGAATATGACAATCACATAATGTTGTATTTACATTCTGATACAGTGTATTAATGAAATCCAAAAAGTGTTGAAAATATATATTTTCAACACTTTCGATCATATCATTCATTCATTCATTAATTCTTTCTTTTTTGTTTGATTAATTACTGTATTATTCATAAAATTGTTGTTTGCTATAAAAAAAGATATCTTTCAAAAGATTTTTCATAGAATCGATTAATTTATATTTTCATTCAATCGCTTTAATGGCAACGAATTTGTTTGAAACGTTTCTTTTCATTCTTTTATTATTATTATTATTATTATTGTTTGCATGAAAACCGCTGGTAATATTCTGATTGAAGTTTGATGAAAATATTATTTTAATTTAAATTTTAGTGCAACATTTCAATCTCAATCAAAGTGCAAATTCTTTCTAAAATTAAAAACTGAACTTCTCATAGAAGACAGAATAATTTCTTAGCAAAATTTTATTTGATTGGAAATGAAATGTAAATTCTTATTCATTGTTTGATGTTAATTAATATTTAATGTTAATTAATGTACGTGGAGATTTAAACATTGAGGTAAATATTCGTTTGATAATGCATACAGCCAAATGAGAAATTTTGTTAATATTTGCTTAAAAATTGTTTCAACAAATACCAAAATGTTCGATGGCAAACATATTTCAAATTGCAATTAATTAAAGTTTGTAATTAAGACTTTTAATAATTATTTGAATTCGTTGATGCAAAACATATCTCATGTATAATAATAATAGTAATAATATTATCATCAGGAAACTTGCATTTAATCTATCCGTCAATCAGGAAACTTCCCGTGTATTAGTAACCGGAAAACTTTATATCTTTCTTTTATCTACAAAAAATTGTAGAAAGAAGAAATGCAATACAGAAAATTGTGACCCCTATCACTCTTCTTAGTCACTTTTTTGGCCAATCGATTCGTCGTCGTTTGTTATCCTTTCTAAAAACGAATAATTCATTCTCATTAACAATTCCCGAGATAACGAGAGCGAAAATAAGTGAATGGACAAGCACGAAATAGTTCATTTCTTTAGAGAGTACAAAGATTACAGCATTTTCCGGGGGTATATGGAAATTTAGAAAAAAATGCTGTTGCGAAAGAGTGAAGAGAGAAACTGTGTCCCCTATAAAATATCGTATTAGTATTGATGTGAACCCCTTCTATCCCCTCTCTCTCTCTCTCTCTCTCTATCCTGTGTCCTTTTCTTATTGAATAGATTTCTGCAAAATCCGAAATGAATGAATGTGTCACTGGATCATATCAACCTTCTTGTTGAAATTTAATTACCCATTGTTGAAGGGATAAATTATTGATTGATACTTTTCATTTATCATAATGCATTGAAATTGAATATTTTAGTGTTAAAAGAAAACATTATCATTATTACTTATTGCTTAAACTAGTGGTAGGACGAATTGTAAAATACGGTTGAGAGTTTGCAAAACTTTTAACTTATAAATTTTATGAATAATAAAAGTGTTTGTTTACAATCTTTCGTTCTCCTTCATATCCCTCCACAATCGTTGAATAAATCAAATAATAGCATGAAATTTAAACAGCATAATGAAATTTCAAAAATTATCTTTTGAAAAAAAAAAGACAACTGCATAATTTCAAACAGATTTATTGGTAATTTAATTTGTTGTAACAGAAATATGCTCATCGTAAATGGATCAAACGCAATTAATTTATTAAGAAAAGGCAGAAATGGTTCAATTTTCTACGATTATCAACAATGTATGGAACCTAAATTGTAGCAATTTCATATGTAAATAATTACAGCATATTCATTACTTCCTGATAATAATATCGAACGAATATGATAGAATATTAATTTTTTGGAAATTAAAAAGAAAAGTGCTAAATGGTCCATTGTGGCTCGTCGTCCATCCAGCTGTTACCCATTTCATTCAAACCTATGTATTTGTTGATATGTAAACAAAAGATTAGAAATCAGTACCATATCAGAAAAGATATAAAAGATTGAAATAAAAGAAGGAAAAAAAGTAACAAATGATCATTTTCCCCAGTATGCATGGTACAGAATAATACATATGTATATATATATATGATACAAATACCTGACTTTAATTAAATTAGATAATATTTTGAAAATTATTTTGATAACAAAACGAAGAGAAGTGAAACAAACGAGACGATGTAAATATGATGAGTAAAAAAAAAAAAAAGGATGATTTAAACCCGGTCAAAGATAATTAACAATCATAATCATAATATGATTATGATTATGATATCATGATCATAATAATATAATGATAGTGAACAAAATAAAAATTTCGTAAAAAGTGAACACGTATAAAGATTGCAAAATAAAAATATACATGCATAATAAAAGTATAGAAATTAATAATTGGCCAAAATATGCCACGGTAACATAATTCTTTCTAATGTGTTTCGGAAATCTTTCCTTTCAATAGAATAATAAATTATAAAATTAAAATTTTTGTGAATTTAATATTTCAACATCAATTATGCGTAAATTATATGTATAATATAGTAAATTATGTGTTTGTTGTCTTCACTATATTTATATATTTAGTTAATGGCCAAAAACTAACCTATAATTTTCCTCTTTTCTTCATTAAATCTAAAAAAATTATTTCATTTTAAATCTCCCACAATATTATTGCCAACCCCTATTATCGTATCTTTCTCCTAATAATATATTTCACAATTTTATCAAAAAGATACATGCATATATTTTTAACATTTACACGTTTTACCTGTGATTTCATTCCGAGAAAATCGTACGATTTCAACAATTTTCATTATGATACTAACAGAATAGTAAAGAGTAAGAAAATTTCATATAAATGAATGAATGAAAATGCTTTTTTCCCAAAATTTATGCCAATTTTTATTTTGCTTTTATATGTTTTTATATGTTAAAAAATAATATATAATTAATTGCTTAGATACGCAAATAACCTCGTAAAAATTCGAGAATAAATATATTACAACCCGGAATAACGGGATAAAAGTTCTGGATAAAGTCATATATTACAATGGGATGAAATTTCTGGAATATCCTAAAATATACGTTGTTATTCGCTGTGAAATAAAAAATCCATCATTAGCTAAAAGGAAAATAACAAAAAATAAACTGATGCAAAAGAGCTCTATGAAACTTAAAATGATGCATTCAAAGAGAGAGAGAGAGAGAGAGAGAGGGGGAAAGAAAGAAAGTGAGGAAAAAATAGAGAATTAAAAAAGTTTCAATTAAAATTAAAGAATAAAATTAGATCAAAAGAAGAAGAAGAAGGGCAAATCAAAGACAATCAACAACGTCTTACAATCGCTGGAAAGATACGGCAATCAATTCAACGATGTTTTTTTGTTCGATTCCACGAATGACGACGAGAACGTTTCATTTGATTTCTTTTTCCCCTTAATTTCTTCGTTTCAACTTTTTGCTGTTTGCAATCATAAATACGACGGCAGAAGTATACCTGAATTTAGTAAAGAAAGAGTTTATATAATCTGAAAGTAAAACAAGGAAGAAAGGAAAACTCTAATACGGAAATCACAACTGAATAAAATTACCTCCTTTTATTTTAAATGAACTATGTTAACAAATAGAATTTATTGGAATCGAAAATTGAAATTAAGGTGAAATTGAATTATAGATCAACTTACCAGTTCAACTGGTGTATCATCACGTGGGAGATACATCCGCCGTGGATAATCATCTTCACCTTTCTTCCATAGTAAGTCTTCTTCACTTACACGTTGCGCCAATGGATATGCATCATTTCTTGTTTCGGCCATAAATCTAAATTTAAAAAAGAAATTAAAAAGCTTATTAAACTAATAGCTATACTGAAAAATCAATAATCACAAACATAGAGAGAGAGAGAGAGAGAGATAGAGTCAATAGGATTAGGAAAATGGAATTATTACAGTTTCAGAAGAAAATTTGATCTGATCTGTATGCAGCGAAACAGATATGAAAAATTGGAACTTAGCATAGATATGAATGTTCACGTGTTGAGTGTATACGTAAAAATTACCGGCCATATTCATTATATGTTAGTACCCATATGATTTCATCCACTGCATCAAGCGCTATAACATCCATATGTTTTGAAGCAAGCAATTCACGCTCAAATACCGGTGGTACTAATGAACTTCTAACTTGCGTTGGGGTGTAATACCACAGTACTGATGCCAAAGGCGTTCCTGAAATTGAATTTTCCTTCTTCTCTAAACGAAATTAGATTACACGAATGGAACTTCACGAATTCATTAAATACAATAATAAAAAAACATGATCATTATTTGCGAGATTTTCAATGATATTCTTATAAGTATTCAATGATATTCTTATACAGCAAATTAAATTTAAACTAAACCCTCAGTTTAGTTTTATTCAACTTAATTCATGCCGATGAATTTGATTCTTAAAATTTTCAAAATATTTTTTGCCTGTTTCTTGATCATTGAACAGGCGACAAATGAATGCAAAATTTGGTTCGCCACCAATGGCATTTACAAGTACCGAATCACGAAGTCTCAGGAGATCACCGGTTTTGGAATGCACAGCTTGTGGATAGCATATTCGTCTGGTCGATTGCTTTTCATGGAAGAAATACTGTAAAACAATTATTACATTTTTATACAAAATCTTTTCAAACGTAAAATCACAATGAAATTTTAACAATCAAATAATAAATGTGAAATGGTAATCGGAAAAAAATTTCCTATCAAAAAGTTTTTCAATATGAAATCTATCTATTTCATTCCGTAATATATATATATGAAGCAATATTTTGAAACTGAAATCGAAATTTTGAACAAAAATTGCTACAAATTTCTGGCTTACATCGATGTAAACAGAACTTTCATAAGGAGATCCTATTAGTTTCCAATTCGAATTGCAATTATTCCTTCGAGTTCGTGATGAACCACGTCTTTTCCCCATTTTTGTTATAACTCTAAATCCATTCGATCCACTAGAAGTACTGGCTCGGCTACTATTGGTTCCTGACCAATGACGCGGCCGTATTGAGGTATTTCTCAGACCTTTCAGTGTCACCATCAATTCATTATCCAATAATCCATCTATTTCGGCCTGAAATAATAGCGATAAACATTCTCCAAAGAATATTTGATGTTAAAATTATTAAACATTTTCCAGTCATTTCATTATATTTGCTACCTCTCATTTTATTTGATTTTAAATAAAATCAGACGATATGTTTTTCTTGAAATCTTCATAGTTCAGGAAAAATCTTTCTAAAATTTATAACTTTATATAATATTTGAAACTAATCTTTTACTTATAACTTATATAGAACATATGAACACGCAAACAGAATTAACATACGTACGTACGTGTAAAAAAAAACCTTTAAACGTTTGCTGTATAATCTTGTTTCTTCATTACCATCCTTCGATTGTAATCTTTTCCGCTTCGTTCCCTCATTCAGTTGTGTAGGACAGAAAATATTTCCTACCGAAAATGTATCATCAGCAGTAAATTTAGTCGGAAACTTTCCTGATTTTTTCCGTTTTGACTGTTTCTGAACTGATTTCCTGCTAGCTGATTTCGTAGTAGCCATTTTCACCGTAAAACCGTGACTGATAACTTTCGTGGACTTATCCTTAATAATAGCACCATTAGTAATAATAATCTTTGGTATACTTGCTGCAGCGGTAGACGAACGCAGTACACGTTTCGGACGATCTTCTTCTTCAAACTGTTTTAATAGTTTCGGATCAAGTGATGGCGTAAGTGATCGTTTGAATGATGGACTTGTTGAACGTTCACGTGAGGGAATATCTTTCTCTTTAATTTTTGATTTTTCCTCTTTATGATTTAAACATTTCGTTAATTCTTCATCGTATGATGGCGATGATTTTTTGTTTCGTATAGTACCATTCAATGAATGTGCGTCCTTCTACAACACGAAATCATTATTATCACCAATGGTAATTTATCAAATAATTCTATTATATTAACAGAACAAATCAATTTCTACCCGTTAAATTTGATCATTAATAAAAAAGCCATATTTTACATTCTATCAAATTAACTAACATTTGCAGAAATAATTATAAAAACAAAACAAAGGAAAAATACGTAACAAATGATAAATAGCTGAAATGATAATAATACAAATTCTTTACTGCAATAATATGCAATTAGAAATTTTCTGTATAAAAAATAATGCAAATTAATTAATTTCAAAAGCTGAAAAATAAAAAAGAAAAACAAATACATTTCGATGTTGTAGATTGCCTTTGTTGTTGTTACCACCTTTACTATTCACTTCGGTTGCCACAATATTTCCAAATACCAAATCTCCGATTTCCAAACTTTTCAACACATTAATCTAAATTTTGCAAAACGAAAGTATGGCAGTTTATTTGAAACAATTGAATTTAATTTATCAAAGAAAATTAAAATTGCTATGAAGCGATTTTCTTTTGCTGGAAAATTGGGGATGAAATTTTGCAGATTCTAAGAAAAAACTGATCAATTATATGAAAAGAGCGAGAGAGGAAAAACCAAATTGAAAAAATCAAAAGTCAAAAACAAAAGAATAATATTTGCATTATCACAACAAAAATAATTACTTCTTAAAAATCTCAGAGAAAGAAATTTATAACATTTCATATAAAAGTGATAGAGTAAAATCATAAATTATTGGCAATCATTTTAGGCAAATCATTAAAGTACTTATCAATACATCTTTCAGTTACGTAATTATCATTAATAATTGACAAAACTCAGATAATGAAATCAGTTAAATTTCTGAAGAGGACAAAGAACACATACAACAGAGGCGAACAAATATTAAAAGCAATTATTTTTAGGTGAATAACTTTTGAATCAAATTTCATTTATAAAACTCAGAATGTAAATGAAATGGGAAGAGAAAGCAATAAACAAAAGGGTAATAATGATGCTGATGATACTATAATCTCTGCACTTCGAAATTTTTATAAAAATATCTGATTTCTATAATATCGAAATATTTGAAAGTCACTTTCAGAGTACGAATTCATTCATAATGAATATGCATTTCAATCAGATATAAGTAAAATGTAATTTAATGATATTAATAAATCAAAGAGAAGAACTATCGGAAAGTATACCAACTCTACAATTAATTAAATGTAATTAGAATTAGGTAGGATATGAAATTATTTGGAAAATTTAAAATTTTCTCTTTTAAATTTCTAAAATTTATATCTCTTCGAAAAAGTTAAAATAACAATTTATTGAAAGAAATATTTAGGAAGAGAAAGACAAATAAACAAAAAACAATAACCAAACTCATATAAAAACAAGCTGAATCGATCAAAATCGATTGCTGAGTAATAATTCTTTTAGCCTAATAGGCTGGCTAAATTGTTATTGCTGTCCCGTTTAGTTTTGTTTACCAAAGTGGAAATATGAGGCTTTCTTCACAGCGCACGAAACAGCAAAAGTAATAATGTAATGATGGCTCCATGAATTAAGAAATAAATCGATGTCTATAAGGCAAGAAAATTTTTTCAACCTATCGACAAGGCCATCTTAGCAAAAATAAAATAATATGAACGATAATATGTGATGATCAAAAATGATAAGATGATAATGATATATCATAATCATGAATGGATATTGTATTATTATAATAAGGAACGAACGGGTGGCAATTACTAATAAAAAGAAATTTTCGAAAATAAATTTATGAATATATTATAGATTTAAAATGAGTCAAAATGAAGAAAACTTAGGCTAGCAAAAATGTTAAAATTATTTTACGTTGGTTAAATTTGAAAAATTGAGCAAACAAAATTTCTAATGAAATCTGTCACGTTCGTTCATACTGAATTAATGCCAGCAAAAATAGAAGAACTTCTAGAAAAAAAAAAATGCCATTTTTCATTTCTGATTAATTTTGATGACATTAAGATAGGATACTACGATGAACCTTCATTTTCCCACTCTTATCATAGAAATTTTTACGTATCAAATTACAGTTAATCAATCCGTAAGAAAATTATCATTAAATATTGATTAATTCAAAAAGATACATTGAGAGAATGATTTCGTAACTCAGAGAAAAATATCAATCCTAAGTATAATAAATCTTTCTCTCTTTTTCTCTCTCTCTCTCTCTCTAAAGAAACAAAAAATGAAATATACAATATCATAAACCTTAACTCAATAAACTATTTTAAAAAAATTTTGTATTTAGAACTTTTGATATATATATATATGGCAGCGATTGATTTAATAATAAGCAACAAAAATGAAAAACATAAACCACTAATTCTTACCGCGGTGTTTTCATTATTGATCAAAGATTATATCCTTTTGACTCATCCCAAACATCAACAATGTAATTTGAATGGATGGATCGGTCGTGTCCTCCTTCTTCACTACATCTCACTTCATTTTTACTTTACCTTATCTTACCTAACTAATTCTTTTTTCATTATCTCTTCTACCCTTTCTTTTCTACCTTTTATATACGTGTATTTTCAAAAAAAAAAATCAATTAATAAAGAAAACATATTTCAACTTTTTTTGTCTTTTCAAGAGTATAAGAACCAAAACAAACTTAAGATTAATTAATCATTAAATTATTTAAACAATAAATCGGAAATGAATTAATTTATCACATTGTTTTATGTTATTATATTATTCCTTTTTTTTTTCTTAATAATTTGATTAAAATATGAATTGAATTAATTATAAGTATAGTCATTGAAATGTCTAACTTATTTCGATGGATGAAAATAATATTTTGTTGTTTAAATTAATTATCACAGAAAGGATAAAATGATTTTTATTGTAAAACAATAGCAAAGGAAAAATGAAAATGAAATTTTTGCTAAATTTATTTTTAAACAAAAAAAATAGTGAACAATTTCCTTTTTTTTTTGTTTAATTTTTAACATTTACAATAGAATTTCTGCATCTGTCAATATAAACAATTAACTTCGTCATATTGCTAGTAAAATAAACTGATAACAATCCGATATTTGCATACCGAGGATATCAACATTATGATAAAGTACTGATAACATAATCAATATCACATTGTCATAATAATTATCAAATAATCCTCTGTAAAGCTTACTACATTTAGGAACTAAAAAATCCGTATAATTTTCATACGAAAAAAAGACATAAGAGATTTCAAATTGTAATCGACCTTCATCTAGATATCAATATCTCGATATCAATCAGTAAGATATTTCCCGGTAAAAAGAATTTGGGGGGAAGGTAAGGCATTTTTGATACTAAAAAGTACTTTCCCGTCAACGGGTAACAAGCATCATTGGGACATCCAAAATGTTAACCGATACGATATTTCATGATTAATTAATTAACAGAAATCTGCGGAGAGTGTTGTAATGAATCGGTGAAATATTTCCTATAGCGGGTTAATAAGATCTTTACCCTCTTCTGTATGTTTTTTCAAGGAAAATTATCATATCAAAAGGTATAAATATCGTTATCAAAGGAAGATTTTGATAAGCACTGATAAAATTTAGACCTTCGCTTGTAAATAATTAATTTTAATTTTATTTTCTTAGCTATCTATGATGTAAAAATTTTTTAGAAAAAAATGGAACAAAAAAACCTAAGAAGAATTAAGGAAATGTAATGAAAGAACAAAAAAGTTTCATTGAAATAATTACAATCAATTAAATAATATATTATTTAATGAAAACAATATAATATAATTTACTTAATTATTCATTGAATATGCAAATATTTAAAAAAAAAAAAGGAAATGAATAACACAATTGAAATACTTTCAAATTTAAACATTTAAGGCTAACATTTGTGAAATTTGAGAAATTTAGAAAAAGAAATATTGAAATGAAACAAAGGAATTATGTAATTATTTACTGAAATTAAAATGGAACGATTCGAATTTTACTAAATTAAATTAATTTGAGATTAGTTGCAGCTGAAAAGTTAAGAAAGCAAAAAAAAAACCAAAATATCAAAGAACAAAAACAAACCTTTTCATTTGGTAATTTAACTTTATCAGTACTATCGTCTTTTCCATTTGCTTCCACACATTCAGTTTTATCAGTATTGGAAGTTATTGTCGAATTCGAAAATAAAGTTTCAATTTTTGTAAAATCAAATGCGGGCGCTTCAGATGATTCTGTTACTTTCATAGATTTCTTCGAACTTTCATCATCCGATTTGTTATATCTGAAAGATACGATAGTTTTTTGCACTCAAATAATATTTTCAACCGATCGCACTAATCTCAAACCGTTGTTAACAATAGAATCAAAATATAAAATGCATTCTGGATAAAAATATCACGAAAAATCCGGATGAAATATCACGAAAAATGAAATACATGAAGTTCTAATCGAAAAAACCAGGAATATTCTCCAATAAATTTCCAAATATGACATTTTCTCTTTAATTATTATTACTATAGAAATGAATAAATTGAACGTTAATTCAAATGAAAATAATCCTACCACCCGAATTAAATTCCATTGTAACTGAAGTGATAAATGATAAAAGAATTACTGAATGATTAAGGAAGCTAAATGGTCAATGGAAAGACTGAAAGATCAGAGGAAAATGCTAAGTGTTAATGGACGATAATTCTTATCGCTAAAAGCGTAAATGTCAATTTTGAAATATTTAGCTAGAATTAAAACATATTGTTAAATTTGGTAAAACACTTCATCCTGTTCGGAATGAAATGATTAAAATGGTTATCAGTAAAAAAAAATTATACACACTTACCCATTAGTATCAATAACTACTGCCTTATTAGATATCTGAACAACTTCGGTCCAATCTGGTACAGTCGGTTCATTGTTCAATCGTAATTCGTCCTTATCATTTTCATCAACAAACACGAATTGTTGATTGTGTAGTTCCGGTTGATTCCGTTGCATCATGGTACTTCTCTCTTCGGTAATAACCAAATTAAGACCGACATCGACAGCTGCTGTCATTGTTGATGTTGGCGTTGTTGCTGTTGTTATCATCTTTTCACTTCTACACACTTCTTTTCCTTTTCTTCTTTTCTTTTTCACTTTGAAAGAGAACAGTAAAAAATTAAAATGTTTCGAAATGGTACGACAAGGATTATTCAAATGATACGTTTGAAAACGAATGAAATTTATAACGAAAATCAAATTTGAATATTGCAAAAATTTAAATTCAAAATTATAATTATTATAAAACTTAAAAATCTTTAATTTCAAATTTAATTTGAAAACCAGAATAACAATTTTATGACCTAAAAGAAGCACATATATATATATATATATATGTATATGTAGAAGAAGGGAGAAAGGAAGAGAGAGAGAGAAAGAGGGATGAAGAAAGAAAAAAGGGAGAGAGAGAGAGGGAAGAGAGGGTAACAAAAATGTGATCGAAATAATGAATGGCCTTTTCAAAAAGGCTCATCCTAAAAAATATTGACTCAGTTCAGTGGCCAGCAGTGTAGGGTAAAAAGGAAAATATTACATTTATCTTTGTCTGTATTTCGAGGCATCGAATGAATTGATTCTAATCATTTTACTAAGCCTAACTAATACATGCGACCTTTCATTGATTGATTGATTGGTTATAATACTTTCAAACTTTCAAATGATTCAATGAAAATTTGAATTTATGTTAAATTCCAAATCTATACTTGAATTGTTTTTTTTTCCAATTAAAAACGAACTGATTCGAACATTTTGAGATCAAAGAGAGAGAGAGGGAGAGAGAAAGAGAGAGAAAAGAGAGAGAGGGAAAACCAAAGAGAGAGAATATACTTCTCGATAATTTTCATCAATTATAAACATAATTTTATTAAATTGCTTTGGATTTTAATACAATGAAATTTAATAAATCAATAAATGCATCCATTCAATAATGCATCAAATGTAAATATCATTTTTAATATATTAAAATTTGATGAAAACGATGAAAAAAGTAAAGCTAAAAAATGAAGTAAGTAAATTTCTGCTATATGATTGCTTAAAAAAATTGATAGAAAAGTTTATTAATTTATTTTATAGTATTTAGAGTTTTAAGGAATGAAAATGACAATTAAAGAATGGCCGAAGAAAATATTATATGAAATTTGTTGAAATTTAAAATAATAAATATTTCTAATAATTTTTTAAAATAAATTAATAAAGTTATAGGTATATTAATCGATTCCTGGTAATATTACGATGGAAAGGAAGTGGATGTGATGTCAAATAAGAATGAAAGAAGACAAGCGACATTCTCTCTAAGTTTGCTTTCTTTTAACATCACAGGTAAAGAATCCTCTTCGCTTCCCTACTCTTCTATATATACATAGAGTTGTACCTGTACAACATAATTAATTAATTCCAATTTAAATCTTTTCTTAGAATAACAGTATTTCCACTTACCAAAACATATGAATAATCATTATTGAATAGTAATGAAGTTATGAATAATCATTATTGAATTTTTTGTAATCAAATTCATTTAACAATTCTTTTTACAACTGTTATTCTTACTCTTTGCTTATTCAAAATGTTAACTTGTTGATATTTCTTGTACAAATCATTAATCTTTTATATCATATCAATCTATTATTACTATTATATATTCCTAAATTTCGTAAGATGAAAATAATTTTTGAATAATCATATCAAATTTTGCATAATTATTGATTGTACGATATTTTGATTATCAGTAATTAAAATTGAATTAATCTATTACATCACTCAAATTATAAATGATAGATACATTGCAATATGCGATTCATTCGTTAATTATCACAATTTTACAAAGGTTTTCTTTTTTGGTATCTTAAATATTTATGCATAAAGTTGATGGAAGACAAATGAAGAATGGTTATTATTCTGCTATAATTATCATACGTTGTTACTACGCATAATATACTACCGAAGGGTTAGGATGCGATGGATTATTTCGATCCTTTCTCTAATGAAAGACAAAACGGAAAAGTTGTTCGTCAAAAATATGGTAGAAAAATTCGCGGGGTCAAAGGTCACCAAAATATTTATTCATAAATTTCAGCATAAATTGAGGTTGAAAAGTGCAGAAAACTTATTCAAATCCTTATCACATTTCTCTCTTTTCAAGCGAAAAAGAAAAAAAGGAATAGTAAATCCAAGATTTTTAAGTTATGAAAAACGCCTAAAAAGTATGCGAAAATTCGTAAATTAAAAAATTGAACTATCAAAACATTTATAGTTAATTATTAACTATGTAATATTCCTCCAACAATGATTTGTCAACAATAATAATCTTTTAATTTCATTTCTTTTTTAATGGAAATTATAATATGACACTTTCATATTTAAATAAGATTTAATTCAAATTTCCATATTTCAAGATTTCGAAAACCGTTCAAGAAGAGTAATAAGAAAGGTATAAAATTGTTAGCAATTAATCATTTGAATTGAATAAAAGAAAGGGCAAAAAATAAATGTGAATGAATTAGTGTTGAAAATGTGAAATATTTTGTTTACGATTATCTTTTTGAAATAAAAATTTTACAAAAATTTTTTCCTATGCACTTCAATACATCGAAAGTTAATTATAATTATAGGAGAAAATGATGTATTCCACATAATTCCTCAGATAATCAGATATCCGCCCTATCCGCCCTATCCTAACAACTGCATTATCATGTTCCTTTATGCTATTATCATCAATGAGATGAGTAACATTATCTTCTCATATATTAATGAGTAACATTATCTTCTCATATATTTATATAACATTATTAAATGATATCAAAATATCAGATAGCATATGTCACATTACTGGAAAATCTGTCATAATAAAGAAATGACAAAGAAGAAAACGAATAGGTAAGAGTTCAACTTCGATAGTTTCTTTTTTAACTGATAACAGACTTTTATCACTATTACTAAAAAAGAAGTTAGCGTACTTTTGTCAGATGAAAAGAGAAATATCGACAGATTAGTAATTATTTATTATTTATTCATCTTATTTTGTTATTAAATATTAACACGAAATTTTTCGTATTTTAATAATTTATTAAATAACAAATAATATGATTAAATATGGTTAACAATGAATGACGCATATATAATTGAACGTAAGTTTGTTGTTCGTTTAGATTTTGTTCTGAAATCTTCAAAAGGAGAAAAAATATTTTATCATTCTAATACGGTTAACCAGAAAAGCTGTCAGGATGAATTACATCTTCTATTGATTTCCTATGCTGTAATAATCCAAATGATTATCAAACAATTCAATCTATATAATATTAAAAATATATGAAATTCTTTTTCAATTATTTCACAAAAAATGGAAGAGAAAAAGAATTGGAAAAAAATTTTTCCCATTAAAATAATATATAATTACTAAATGATTTATTTAAATAGTAAAATTGATAAAAATTATTCAATAAGTAATAATATATTCGTATGGATAATAACTTTATTGATTAGTTTTGGTTAATTATCATTTTTAAGAATGACAAAATTAACGGTATCATATGAAGATAGTGCAGAATGATAAATGAATAAATGAAAGGAAAAGAAATAAAATAAAAGTATTAAGTAACGTTACTGATATCATCGGTAAAATTTCATAATGTTTATATTGTTTACAATGATAATGATTGATTGATTGTATGATCGATTGTTTTCTCTATTTCATTCATATAGTAGATTTGCTTTCAGGAAAAAGAAAACAAATTTGAAAAATGATTGACAGAATCGATCAGAATTAACTTCAAATTTAAATTTCAATCATTTCGAATTACTAAATTTGGTATTTTGTATGAATTAAAATTAAATGAGTAATAAAGTTAAATCATAAATAAAGTAAAACTTCGGTATTGTAAAGAGAATCACAAAAAATTGTTAAAAATTTCCCAAATATATTTTACACTATCAAAATAAACTAATTTGAAACATTAATTATGTTTTAAACTTTAATTACGAATAACATTAAGAATATTTCAACGATAATAATATTTTCGTTAATCGTACGATTCTTAAAGTACTAAAAAATCAATTTGTAATTAATTTTCAATTCGTTGGTTATTGAGCTGTTGAAAAATATTCGTACATATACATATTTTTGGAGCATTCAATTAAGTATTATTACTTAATTGTCTTTTCTGAAAAAGGAAAGATAATTAATTTTTCCATTTATGATTATTAAAAAAAAGTTTATTTTCAAAAAAGGAAATAATTATAAATCTTTTTTTTTTCATTTCAAAATTTCTTCCTAAATGTTCGTTTATTTTTCATAATCAATAATAGATACTATTTTTATCATTGATATCACAAATAAACATTAAGAGAAATTTTATCATTAACAATGATATAAATGGGAAATTGAAGTTTGTTCTATATTCGTTATATAATAAATATGTGATAATAATGTAATCAATCATAAATATAAATTATAATAAATATTGAATAGTTAAAAGGGAATGCTTTGAGAATAATTAATGAAAAACAATTGCTTTGCTAATAAAAAATATAAAATAATATAAATATTTTTTTTGGGGAAATGGCAATTTCTGATTGCAAAAAAAGAAAAATAAATAAATAATTTCTAAATTATATTGAATTTATATATATTATCGATTAATTTTAATTATAATTTTCAAAATTGAAATTTCTTTTTAATTAGAAAAAACAAAACTTTTAGCATAAAATTTCATTTAATTTCTTTTCGTTTAATTAATTCTAATTGTTTAATATATTTTTTGAAATAAGTAAATTTATTAAAATTAAAACAAAAATTCGTTTTCTTTTCACATTTATCATTGTGTCTTTTTCTTACAAAGCAAAGATAAAATATTTCAACCAAAAACAAAAGAAATAATCATTGGAAGGTGTCATTAAAGAAGGATGGATAATGAGAATATCAAAACGATTTGATAATATTTATTTGTAAATACTAACTTATTTCTTTCATATTTTGTCTTCACTTATTTACTGATTATTTCTTCAGATATTACTTTTAACTCTCTCTTTTTCCCTCTCTCTCTCCCTCTCTCTCT